ATAATAATAATAATAATAATAATAATAATAATAATAATCATAATAATAATAATAATAATAATAATAATAATAATAATCATAATAATAATAATAATAATAATAATAACAACAACAAAAACTATCATAATCATCATCATGATGATGATCATGACAATGTAAAAGAAGGACATAAAGAGGGAAAAAGGTATTATCAAGATAAAAAGAAAAAAGAAAATAATCAAAATAATGATAACGATTATGATGATGGTGATGGTGATGATGATGATGATGATGATGATTATGATGACGACGATGACAATGGTACTGTTACTGAAAATGAAAAAAGTATTATCAAGAATAACAACAACAATAGTAATAATAATCTTAATGAAATACTATTGCAATTAAAATCTGAATTAAACGGTGATGATGAAGACGACAATGACAATGGTGTTGATGATGATGCAAATAGTTCATTTAGAAAAGCTTCAACATGTGGTGCAACTTCTTTGGGCGAAGAAACAGCACCAACAATGACATCCTCAATCTCGTCATTCAACATTGCGAATACAATCAGACCTTTCATACGTATAGTTCTAATAGTAAAACCCATGCGTCAACCACATCAAGTTCGTGAAGTCTACAAGTCTGAATTATGTGTATTATATCCATTTCCATTATACGATGCTCTTCAACATGCTACCTTTAACACTTCATTATACGCCTATTCTCGTCGTTCAATGCAAATTCTGCAAGCGAGTCGTATCTACTTTACCGGCGAGTTGGTGAGACTTCTGCAACAATCAGATACTTTTTCACAGGTAAACGAACAAAATCTTGATGATTTTTTTTTTGATCCTGAAGAGTATAAAAGCATGCCAGAGGATGCAAGAAAAGTACAGCATGCTTTGGATATCATTCGTGACGAAATTCATAGTTTGAGACAACAATGGAATTCTGCTTCTTGGTCAATGACTGCCATTGAATGGGATCGTCAAAGAACTATGCTATCTTATAATTTTGGTGGAAGATCAATGACCCTAAACATCTCAAAAACAAATGGTCGTGCATCTTCAATCTGTCATTTTAACAATAACCATAGCAATAATAGTGATGGTCATTCTAAAAGGTTGTCTTCCACCTTAAAACCAACAACGCAAACACAATTTGATACAATGTCACAAATTGAATTTCTTAAAGATGTTGTACATCATGCTCCTGATAGAGCATGGAATAATATTTTCATGTTAGGTGTTACATCACCAAATCTAAGTTCTTCTAATGATATATCTAATAACGCCAGTAGCAACAATAATAACAGTAGTGGAAAACAAAAGAAACAAAATAAATCATCATCGAAAACTAATAATAATAATAACAACAACAATAATAAATCATCGCAACCTAAACCTCCACCACCTATATTAGCATCTTATTTGTCCTCAATAGCATTAACTAATCAACCTTTAACAACAAGAAGATCGTCCTCTTTATCTTCAACAGCATCAACAACTCCTACACCTAATCTCAATAATAACAACAATAATAATGCTAATCATGACAATGTCCATAATAATAGTAGTAGTAGCAATAATAATAGTTTGATTGGTCCAAGAAAACAATCAACAGGTAACCGATTAATGAAATCTTTAGGTTTTGGTGCTAACCGAGATCAACAACAACAACAACAAATCAATGAACATAATGCACAATTAAGTCCTAATGCTGGTGCTAACAATGAACCGATCGAGAAGAATAAGAAGAAATCATTAACCAGAAAATCAAATTCTAGAAAACACAATAGCAGAGCACCATCTTTTGAAGAAAATGATGTTTTATTTGAAAGAAACAATGAAGACGATGCTATTACAACCAATTCTCCTCCGCCTACTCTAACCAATTCACACCCATTAATCAACAATGACAATGACAAAAACAATGAAGAAGATAATAATAACGTTACTGTTAACATATCATTATTACCGCCACCATTTCCTTCTACACCATTAATTTCCGTATTTAATCTGGATCATGAGGAAATACCTAATTTGAATTCTATTACTGACCAAAATGAATCAAATGTAGATTCTAATGATGTGACAGCAATCAAAAAACAAAACAATAATGTTGATGATGATAGTTATGGTTATAATTATAAAAATGTCGAATATGAAATACTTGAAAATAAAATCATTGACAATGTTAATAAAACTAATGACAATATTACCAAAAACAATAATAATGATGATGGTGATGGTGAGGGTCAAGATGAAAATAAAGATATCTTTAAAAAAAAGTTTAAATCTGAAATGGTAACTGAATCATACACCAACGACACCAACGACACCAACGACACCAACGACGACGACGACGACGACGACGACGACGAGGACAATGACGAGGAGGAGGAGGAGGAGGAGGAGGAGGAGGACGACGAAACTGATTTTGAAAAAGATTCAATTCATTACCAATCAGAATCTCAATCAGATCAGATTTCTCGCAAAGATGACAATAACGAATTTATTATTGACAATGCTACATTCAAGGTTGATAATGTCAAAGAAAATGATAATGATGATGATGATGATAATATTTTGGTTAGCAATGTTGATTCTAAGGAGGAAGAAATACTTTTAGCAAATACTATTGAGGATAATGATAAGGATAATAGCTATGAGGGCGATGAGAATGATAATGGTAATAGTATATTAGAACTTAATGATGCAATAGATCATGATACGACCTATAACTTGAGTTCAGAATTATCAATGGAAAAGGGAAGTGAAATGAATGTTGAAAAGGATTTGGAAGTTGCTTTAGAAACAAATTCCAATGAATATGAAGAAATTTATATCTTTAATAATAATGGTACCATAAACGATGAAACTTTAAAAGCAGCGCTTGAATATGATTTTGATTCGGATGTTGAAATTTCCGATAGTAACAATAACAGTAATAATATCAACAACACGGAAACAAGTGTAAATGCTGACAATGATGACAATAATAATATTCTTAATGGTGATAATTATAACAACAACAACAACAACAACAACAACAACAACAATAATAGCAATGATGATGAGTTAACTTTAAAATCATCTTCATCTTCACTTATTTATCCACCAAAAAGTTCAGCGACTATTTCCAGTCATTTATTTTTATCAGCGTCAACATCAGAGTCAACATCTGCTTCAACAACTACAACAACATCTGCCACCGATACACCATTATCATCAAGAGAATCATCATCACCATCAACTCCACTTCCACGTCAACCTCCATCAACCCCAATCAATGGATTCGATAATTACACAATTACACATTCGTCAATCTTACGATCTGCTCCACCAACACCATCCACGCCATATTTCCCTGCGGTCACATCACTCTCATTGGAAAGTTCACGATCTCCATCGCCAGAATCTAACCTAGGATCATTATTGTTATCATCATCATCATTACCATCAAATGATTTATCAAATTCCAGATTACTATATAATAATAGCAGTAACAATAACAACATTAATATCATTAATAATAACTTTTTATCTGGTCCATTTCTTGAAGAAAGCTCAAATTTCAACACGACCATGCCATCCATACCATCAACCCCATCAACGCCACAATTTGCATCATCATTACAAAATACTAGACCTTCTACACCTGTGTCGGCACATTTGTCCACATTATTTGATGAATTGAATCAAATATCTTCCTCACAACAATTGACATTCGCCAAATCACCTCCAAGAACTTTATATGATGAATTATCACAACATAACGCCACCTCTATCATCACACAATCTAAATCAACGTCACCACCATCATATTCAAACACTCTACAAGACTCCAAACCCCCAACTCCTCAAGTATCACCACCCAATTCTCCAACTTCATTACCAATTCCTACAACGACGACGACAACAACAAAAACGTCATCGGCATCATCATCATATGCTACTACTAATGTCAATAAAAATAATAATACTAGTAGTAGCACAAGCATCAGTGGCAGTATCAATAACAATAATAATACTTCCTTTTTGAATATCATGAACAATCGATCATTTTCACAACCGAGTTATACATCCAACTCTGCTCCAATATCACGCGTCAACACACCACCACCACCATCTCCTACAAAATCATCAAGCATAATTCCACCCTTACCACCAAACTCCAATACAGTAACAAAACCTTTATCACCACCACCATCATTTATCAATTCATCATCAATACCCTCGCTAATACCAAGACATCCAATGGTCAGATCATCGTCGTCATCATCATCATTATTGCCAAAGAGTTCATTGCCAACAATCCAGAAACCACCACCACTTCCACTTCCTCCAGAGTGGCCTGTCCTTAAGAAAACTAAGCGACAAGAACTTAAAAAGGAAGAAGGTGATGGTAATGATAGTATTCAGGAAAAACTCGCATTCCATCGACATACTAAATCGAGAACAAATGCTAATGAAGGAGATAGTACTGAAGTGAAAAAAAATCAATTTTCGCAAGGAGTGGCTGATGAAAGTAGTTATTACAATAATAACAATATTGGTGATGATAATGATAATAATAATAGCAACAGTAAAGAAAAAGACAAGGTTAATAAAGACAAGGTTAATAAAGACAGGTTTAGTAAAGACAGGTTTAATAAAGACAGGCTTAAGAACAATATTAACAAAGATAGTAGAGATGTGTCATCATCATCAATACCGTTAGCCATTAATGAAGGCTCAATTAACAATAATAGTAGTAGTGGCTCATCAAATACTACCAATTCATCTCCTAGCACAAGTAATTATGAATCAGTAATAAAAGGTCGTAATAGGAAAAGATCATTTGCAGAAAAATCAGGATTGAGGCCTCTCAAGATTACATATGCCGTTACTGCACATTCAAGAAAAGACGATAATAATAAAATACCTAAAAAATCAGAAATAAGAGATTCAAATGATTATTATTAGATAGCAAAAACAATCTTACTGACGGTGCTGGCGGTATCAATGGCAATAATAACACTAATGTTTGTGGATGGGAAAGGCGTTATAAAATAACTTATTATATATTAATATATATCTAATTTATCTGTATAATTATTAATAATTTAATTTTTTGGGTTGTTGATTCATTTTATATATCTCTATTTTTAATACATATATATATATATAGACTTTTTTTTAATTTTATTGTATAGAAAAATTTTATATTATAATAATAAAACAATGATAAATAATAATAAACGTTGTATCAATTACATGACTATTCTCCAATATAATGTAAACAGTGGCATTTCGTTAGGATACAATGAATGTTTTTGGGAAGTCCTAATTTTCAAACGAAGACGATGGTTGTAGTCATCGTGAATTCTTTATTAATAATGTATGGTTCAATATATTTATTTGTGTCAATCCTTATGTCTAATTATCCACAAAAATCACAATGTACTCGATAGAGTTTTATCGTAGGTATCTTTAATTAAAATCGAGGCTTGATTAATTACCTCTACTCACGAAGGGGCTGACGATTCCTTTCTTTTGTCGAAGAAGATACATTTCCATAGTCTAATGTTGTATTTCCATTTACTGAAAAAGAAGATTCATCAGTTTCAGACTTTTCTTTTCCCTTACTTCTATGCGATTTAACTTCAACAGATTCATAGCTAATATAAATAAATAATTAAATATTGATCTTTGAATGTACGTGGAATACTACGGAAGTGGTCTTGTACAATATGCAATACAACGCCCTATTTTCCATGCGAGCAAATGCAATATTTTTTATACACGGAAATAAGAATCAAAAAGTTTATTATTTCAAAACATCATTATAATTTAGCTTTAAGAATAAAATAAAGATAAAATAAAAAGACAAATAATTATAACAAATAATTTAGGATATTAAATTAGTCATTCATCAATTCCTTCTTTTAATTATTAGAATCAAGTGCAATCAAATGTAAATAAAAAATATTGTTAATTAATGGATAGTAATCTCCAATTAATTAAATAATAATGAAATTTCTATTCACCTTCAACATTTAAGAGAAGAGAGTTAAAATCAAGACTATTTAACGAACAATCATTACTTGTATGAATTTTCAAGCTTTTTGATTTAGCAATCTCTTCATCTAATATTCTACTTTTATGATATGCATATGGATGTGATTCGTGTACTTGTTGCGAATCATTGCTACTACTGATATCATTATTATTTTTAAAAACTTTCTTACGTTTGTTTTCAGCAAAATCATAAAGCTCTCTACTAGTTGGTCTTTTAGATGGGTCCACATCCCAACACCTCTGCATCATTTGCACATAATCATCAGGCATTCCAGGTAATATTGGTGGTCGTAAACCTTTTGCATATATATCAAAAATTAAATGATGATTGTGAGCTCTGTTGTCAAATGGTGGATGACCTGCAAATATTTCCCACATTAACATCCCAACACTATAGATA